CTCTCAAGGGAGACAGAAATAGTGCTGGGGCACTTCCTGAAAAAATCAATGGACATCATGTAGAAGTTGCAGGAGAAAAAAATCCCTTAAGGCCTTTATGATTTGTGGCTTGCTGCCTAGCAGTTTTAGCCAGCACCAATTAAGACAAAACATGCCCTTTAGGAAAGAAAAGGAATGCAAGTTCCAACACAAGATGCAGAACACAGCCGCCACCATGAAGCCAGGAAGGAGAGGGTTAACAGAGCTGAGATTAGTTACCAGTTAACATTTGTGAGGATGTTTTATAGACCCAGCATGTAAAACAGGCCGGATTCCAGATGTCACAGCTGAGGTTACCAGCCTCTGGAGAGATCACCAAATAATCCCTCTTAATTCTACTTTCTTCAAAAGGCAGAAGGAAGAGAGAAAGAGTGAGGAAAGCAATTAGGGAGGTGGGGTAGGGAGGGAAGATGTGCATGTAAATAATCAGAAAAATGTACTTTTCATTTATCAATATGTTTTAAAGCTGGTTCTACAGATGTTTGATTAAAAGTGTATAATAGGTATGTTCTGGCCTTTCTGTTTCCATGTCATTGAGACATAATCATTTTTTGTTTGTTTTGTTTTCTAATGTCTCTGGCATTATGCCCCAAATATTCAGTACTTCATTCATTCAATTCATCAAGCATTCATTTATTTATTTACCAAAAATTCCTCGAGGCACTCTCTATAAGCCAAACAAAGAGACATTAAGGCATATTAATGCCCCTTAGACCTTACAGTCTAATTGGGAGGTGAGACATGGCCACATAATTATCAAATGATGAGATAAGGAAGAGAGTGAAGGTGGGTGCCTGGTCTTTGGGAGCATGGAGGTGGGCCAAAGACTCTAATGGAAGTATGGGAAGAATTTAGAGGACATCCTATATAATAAAAGCCTAATATGCTAAGTGTCAGGTCATCCATTCAACCAATCAAATCATAATATGCTAATGATATGCTAAGGCGGCTCAACTGCTCACTATGACATGCACTGACCACCAGGGAGCAGATGTTCTGACCAGTAGATTAGGTTGCTGCTGGGATCTGGCCCATCGAGACTGAGTGAGAGAGGCCAGACATGCCCTGGAGCCCTCCCGTGGTCCTTCTCCAGCTGGCCAATCTCCCAATCCCTCCCTGGCCTCAATGGTGTGCCAGTGGGCTTGGCCTGTGTGCTCTTGCAATCCAAGACCCCTCAGGGGATATAGGAGAGCAGGTCTTGGCTCAATCCTGCAGTCCACACCGAGGGCCTCCACTGGTGCACGAATTTGTGCACTGGGTCTCTAGTGTATTATATGTTGCTGTATCTCAAAGGAGGACTGTGATTTTTGCTATAGCAAAATGGTTTGATACTCGAGCAAGAAGTAGGAGCTTCTGGGCTTGTAGACTGAAGTAACATGAAATTATTTGGGGAAAGTGAAGAATATTTCCAGACAGACAGTCCATTGGGCACATCAGGTGTATGGGAGAGGGCAGCATGGGGATCATTCTAGGAAGAGTGGATTTTATTCACATGAAAATAGAGAAGAATTGAATGGTAAAGTCATGCAGTATTTTGTATATGTTTAGCAGAGTAATTTAAGGAGGCAGTAGTTAAGCAGAATTAGTTAAAAGGAATGAATAATAACTAGAAATCTGTCATCCTTCAGGCATAGGGCTCACTCCGGCACTTTCATAAAGTAGTTCCTTATAGAATGAACATATCCACACATGCACATTATCTGGGTTGCAGCAAAACTCACTTCTATCTTCCAAATAAGCCAATTCATGTTCACCAGGGTCATGTAACTTGCCCAAACTACCAAATTCCTAAGTGGCTGATGTAGAACTCAAACCCAAGGGTCTCTGGGGTGAAAGAAAGGCATTCTCTCTCCTCTCTGCCACTGCCCAGGAGACCATCACTCTGGGCCAGAGTTTCACGGGGCCTGGGGGGCTGATGAGATTGTGTCGGTAATTTAAAAGAAGGATTGAAACAACCAAGTGAAATAGAGTCTAACTGCACCAACGAAACACGTCCCTGCATCTTAATCTTCCTGTCACGGGAGACAAAGAAGGATGGCCGGGATTAGCACAGTGGGCAATCTCAGTAGCCTGCCGTCAGCAGGGCACTCCAAGCGCACACTGAACAGCACTTAGCCCTACCCAAGCCATTGTGACTGACAAGACAAGTGCTCCGTCTCCTGAACATGCACAACACGGGCAGTTTTTCCCCCCAAATGAATTATTCATTCAAAGCTTCCAACGTTTTCTGAAAAGCGTGTTGCTTTTCATTCGGGGAGTGGGCTGCGAGGAGGGGCATCAGAAGTGCTGAGGTGACAGGAAGGATGTTGACGTTGTTTAACAGACTGAGGAGCTATCATAAGCTTTAAGGTAACCACTGCTAAATGAAGGCGAGCCTAGTGAAATATGCAATTAAAAAAAAAGAATAGCAATTGGATTGGTGAAAACACATCAAAGAGGACAAGTGCAAGTTGGTTTGGTACTTAAGGTGTGAGAAGGCTGGAAAGAAGGGACATCTTTTCTGAAAATACGGTTTCCTAAAAAGTCAAGTAATTTTTAGGGATTCAAATGAACTCAGGGGTGAATACTGAAATGTATGTGATAATGTTATTAGGAAATTGACTAGCCACAGGAAGTCTCATGTAGATGGTGTTTTAAAATTAATCCCCCCACCCCCAGTCCCCATAGAGGACAGAGGAAATTTGGGGATTGTCTTTCAAGGTTATCTTTAGGACTCATACATAACATAGAAAGAAAAAGTTGAATCACAAAAATTAAGGACATAAAAGACAAAAGTCTTAATATTTCAAATTCTTGCAAACCAATGAGAAAACTATAACGTGTCAATGAAAATGGAGTAAGCAATTGTCATAAAGAGGAACTCAAATGGTTAATATAATTTTACATGAAAATATTCTCAAAAGAAATCATCACAAAAATTCAAACAAAAAAGAAATTTCAGATACTCTTTAAAATTTACTTTTATTTATTGATGTTAGAGAGAGAGAAAGGAGAGACAGAGAGATAGAGATAGAGTTAGAGAGAGAGAGATCAATTTGTTGTTCCACTTATTTATACATTCATTGGTTGCTTTTTGTATGTACCCTTACTGTAGATCGAACCTGCAACCTGGGGGTATCAGAATGATGCTTTAAACAACTGAACTACCCAGCCAGGCCCCAGATACTCTATTTCTATTTAGATAACTTAATTGGCAATATTAAAATGATAAGGAGTCTTGGTAAGTTTGTTAAGAAATGGGTATCATATATTATAGTTAGGAGTGAAATTGATAACTATTATCTCAGGAGGCTATTTTGTTATAGTTATATATAAAAATTGAGAAATTTGTATACAATTCAACAATTTATATCTAGAAATTTATTAAAAAAAATAAAGGAAATAGTATGTAAATATTAGTATACTAATATTTGTGATTGATGGAAGAGTTACCCAATGAAGACCTTTACCTGCAAGTCCCACTTTGGTACTTAGCACTCTATTGTTTATAGGAGAAGAGAAATTTTCTTTTAAAACTTCCACTCAGCTGGCTTCTCAGATTAATGGACAATCTCCATTCCCTCTGCAAAACCCAGGGATGGATGTTCACTGCATGCTGTGTGCCTGTCACCAATAGATGACCCTCTGTTGAGTACAATCACTTCTGCTTCTCCAACTGAGTTATATTTACCAACATCAGTTACCTTTCTTCCCATGTATTCATCTCAGGTATAATTATCCCTGTCATGAAATTTAATTATATATTATAAAAACCCCAAGCCCCGTGTAATTGTGAAGAGACAGGAGTTTTTGTTTCCATGAAAACTGAGTTAAACACTCAGAACAGACTTCATACATTTGAACTGCTAAAAACAAAACAAAACTGTTGCTATAGCATTAAAAGGGAGCAAAACCATTGTAAAATTTTGAAAAGAGTTTATAAACTCAATATTAATCATTTCATAACTAGTGGCTTTATGTTTCTTTAAATTTCTATTCCATTTAAAATACTAATAAATGAGGTGCCTCGATAGTGCAGTAGGTAGCACATCAGTCTCATAAAATACTACTAAATGACTGATATTTAAGGAGCATTGTGGTAGTCAAAATAATGCCCCCAAGGATGAACATACCCTAATCCCAAGAATCTGTAAATATGTTAGGCATCATGACAAAGAGGAATTGAGGTTGCTAATCTTAAAACTAGAGGCCCAGTGCACAAAATTCATGCATAGGTAGGGTTCCTAGTGACTGCCAGCTGCCAGCCAGGGCCTCCCTTCCTGGACTGCCAGCTGCTGGTAGGGCCTTCCTTTATTCAGCGACTCTCCCACTTGCCCCAGTGGTCAACACATGTCATAGCGAGCTATCAAACTCCTGAGGGGACATTTTGCATATTAGGCTTTTAATATGTATAGTATAGAGAGATCACCCTGGATTATCTGGGTAGGTCCAATGTAACCAGAAGGATCATTAGAAGTGGAAGAGGGAGATAGAAGAGGAGAAAGTCAAAGAAACATTAAGTGAAACATGCAAGTTCAGCATGATACCATGTGAGAAGGTCTCAACCTGCTATTGCTCCCTGTAAATGTGGAGAAAAGAGTCACAAAAGAAGGAATGAAGACAATTATTAGATGGAAAAAGGCAAGGAAATGAATCCTCTCCTGGAGCCTCCAGAAAGGAACACAGTCCTGCTGATACCTCCGTTTTAGCTTAGAGAGACTGGTGAGACTGGTGAGACAACTTTAGCAGTAAAATAAGATAATGAATTTGAGTTGTTTTCTGCTACCAAGTTGTGGCCGTCTGTTACATTAGTAACAATACACTGCTGTAAATGTACATTTTAAATTATATGACCTTTTCAAACTTGCCTGCTTCAATAATTGACTTTGTAATAAGATCTCAGAAGAGGGGGGGAGAGTAGAATTCAGCATACCCATAATAGTTCCTATTATTGCTTTCAAAAGTGAATGGATGGTTGTGCAGCTCCTATAAGGGGATCAGTGCACGGGCGTGCGGTCCCGGTCCCCGTAATGTACGGAGGCAGAGGGAGAGGGCTCCGGCCCCCTCGGCGTCATGTCTTCGGTGCCGGCGGTGTCCAGTCCGCCGGTTCTATCCTCAAGCGCCGGGACACGGAAAAAGAAGAAAAAAAAAAAAAAAAAAAAAAAAAAAAAAAAAAAAAAAAAAAAAGGGGATCAGTGCAGAGTGTGGTGGTCATGGGGTAGAGATCTGGAATCTGACTCCCCACCACAGACCATGCTGTGCAGCCCTATACATTAAAGCACTTAGGAAGTGCCAGGGGTATCTCAGTCGATGTTAGCAATTTATTGTGGCATGGCAGTACATCAGAAGAGAAAGGCACTCTAGAATATCTAAAGGAAAAGTGCTATTATATAGATTTATGTTAATTTTGAAGACCTGTCCATGCCATTCTCCTATTTGCATATGCCACTTGGTCTAGGATGGTAGATTTTCATAGACCACAGTCCCTATGCCTTTTTGTTCTTCCTGGTATATATATTTCAATTTCTGTGACAGTTTTTTTTTCCTCTTTTTGCCAAGTCATTTATCCCTTAAGGTTCAGGTTGAATTTATTTTCTATGAAATTTTCCCAGATGACTGCAGTCTATAGTAGTAATTTTGATGTGAATTGAAACTTCTCTAAACTAAAATTTATTTTATATATATATATATTTTTTTATATATGCATGTATATATATATGTGTGTGTGTATGTGTATCATATTAGATAGATATAACATATGACTGTATATTTAACAAGATATATATATATATATATATATATATATATATATATATATATATAGTTATATAGTTATATAGTTATATATACAATCATTGCATATACAAAATAAGTCCTAGACTCTAAATGTCTTACTTATGGGTGATGCCCTGGCAAACTTGGCCTATTAATGCATAAGTAAAGAAGATCACAATTTGTCTTTTTTTTTTGCTTTCTGTATTAGTATACCCCATGCATTGGACAAAAGTTTTACACCTTCAATATCCATGATTGGCTTTGTCCATCAGTGACTGATAATTAACTAAGTAAATGAGCTTTGGATTTCATTTATCCCATTGCTTGAATCATTTTTGTTGTGTGTGTGTCCTTAGAATGCATTTCCAGATCATTAATAGAACCTTTAAAACCCACTATAATCTAGCATTGTCTGCCTTTGAAGTGTCCCATCTTGCCCTTCTCATGGTCATTCTTTGTGCTCTCACCTTAAAGGAAGTCATTCTGTTACTCGAGAATGCCACTTTTATATTATTTCTTTCCCCATCAGGGCTTTATTATTTTCTGTTCTTTCTTCTAGACTATTCTTTCTCTTACCCATTTATTGCTCTTTGCTTTCTCAACTGTATCTGCCCTATGTATTTCCCAGGCTATAGAAAATATTAAATCTCCCTCTCACTCTCACTCTCCTTCTTCCCCCTCCCCCTTATCTCCTCCTCCTCCTCCTCCTCCTCCTCCTCCTCCCCCTCCTCCTCCTCCTTCTTCTTCTTCTTCTTCTTCTTCTTCTTCTTCTTCTTCTTCTTCTTCTTCTTCTTCTTCTTCTTCTTCTTCTTCTCCTCCTTCTTCTTCTTCTTCTCCTTCTCCCTCTCCCTCTGCCTCTCTCCCTCTCTCTCCTTTGCTTCCACTCTGTCTGAAAATCAATGGAAAAAATATACTTGGATGAGGATTAAAATAAGGTATTTTATATTGGTAGAAATCTAGTTCTGGAACCCAAGTTACTTTGTAGGATTAGAAAAGGCATCCTGAAGAAGTAATTGTACAGCTGGAACAGGAAAGAGCCACAGGAAACACAAGCTGGGAAGCATGGGATGGGGATTAAAACCATAGGCTCTGCTATCTATCTTTTTGCATCTATGATAACATATCCTTGAAGTGTCTGGGTAACTTGTAACTTTCCTTTTTGTGGACCTCCTGGGGTACAACCAAATGTGCTGGGTGCCAGGGTAGATACCACCAATTCCTTCATTATCATGTTAATTGTTCCTGCACCCACCTACGTATGTGTCCATCATTTTACTTTTTATCCAATCCCAGGGGTTTCCCCTGATTTGCTTTCTCCTGCCACTCTAATCTATCACCAACGGATTTCATGTAACGCATCTACGTCCCTTCCTTTGATTGCAATGTATAAATATAGATGTAATTTGACAGTCTGCTTGTTGCTTTACTGTCTCTATATCTATCTTTTGGTTCTTCAGTTTATAATGTTCTTTATCATCCATAAATAAGTGAGGTCATGTGGTGTTTCTCTTTCATTGACTGGCTTATTTCACTCAGCATGATGTTCTCCAATTCCATCTAGGTTGCTGTAAATGATGAGAATTTCTTGGCATTGCCACAGTGTAGGTAAGGACAGAGGATGCCTGAGTGAGGGGTATTGTGGGGAATTGGGGACAAGTATGGAGTCAAGTCTTCAGAGGTTAAACCCACAGACTTTGGTGATAGATTAGTCAAGGGCATGACAAAGGGGGAGTTGTTAGAACTTTACTAGTTCCTGAAATTCTGTGAATTCCTCTATTTTAAATGTAGGGATTTTTGTTGTTGCTTTTGGTTGTTGGATTTTTGTTTTTTATTTTGAATTTTTGTTGTTGTTATTATTGCTTTTGCACTGTATGTCCTGTTTCCTTGGCAGATACCTATGGTGTATGGATCAAATTCTTTTTGGCCTTTTTGTCTGCCATCTTCTTTCTCACCTTAAAATAGAAGTTCCTTATTCAAAAATAAATAAACAAATAAATAAACAAACAAATAAATAAAAATAAATAAATACAGATGTAATCCGCCATTTCTCTGGTGCATTATCTCAATTAGTTGAGATTCTGCTTCCTGGCATATGTTGACAGTTTGGCTCAAATAAACTCACAGAAATGCTTTAAAAAAAACACACAAAACAAAACAAACAAACAAACAAAAAAAAACACAGGCTCTGATCAGATGGACTTAGATGTAAATCATAGTTTCTTTTAACTACTGGTATATGACCTTGACCATTAACTTCTTTAATCACCACTTTTCTTACCAGAAAATTTGGGATTATGAAAGTCTCCTACTGACAGGCTTTTTTGTAAAGATGATAATTGTAAACTTTAAGTCCAGGTTAAAAGGAATCTATAATAATGCCAGCATTTTTGGATATGTTGAATTTCAGTGCCACTGAGATAGCCAGTGTGCTAGAAAGCAGTTTGCATATGTGCTTCTCAATTTCAGGAGCGAGATCTGGGTGAATGGTTTTTATTTGGGAGTCCTCAACACTCACATGGAACTTGAGGTTCTGGATGGAATGGGATAACCTAAGGCAGTGGTCGGCAAGCTCACTTGTCAACAGAGCCTACTATCAACAGTACAATATTTGACATTTCTTTTGAGAGCCAAAATTTTTAAACTTAAACTTCTTCTAATGCCACTTCTTCAAAATAGACTCGCCCAGGCCATGGTATTTTGTGGAAGAGCCACACTCAAGGGGCCAAAGAGCCCCATGTGGCTCTCGAGCCACAGTTTGCTGACCACAGGCCTAAGGAGAGTGTGAAGAATAAACTAGTAGACTTGTACCTCAACATTTAAAGGATGGGAGCAAACAGAACCCCAGTAAAGGGTCTGAGAAAATGTCAGGGAAGTTATGGCGTATTATACTCGAAAAAGATAGATGGAAATTTTGGTGGAATCGGGGACTTCCTGACTGGCCTCTGTATTCCAGATCCACTATGCATGGAGATGAAATTGTGCTTTCAGAAAATGACTGCTGATTACATATCACAGACCTCCAAGGGTTTCTGACAGCCACGTCCCTGAACATTGTATCTGCGAAAGTCAAGATCCCCTCTTGGGGCTCCTGATAGGATCCGCATGACTGTTGAAACACAAAACTGAGTCATCTTGGTAATACAGCACTGTTCACGATGACATCATTGACAATAAAACTACTCAGGCTTTAAAATTAAGTTTAAAATATAGAATTTTCCTTGACTACTGGTTCCTGAAGCAGTAAATACATATACTTTGAGTTGCAGAGAGTTGTGGATGGTTGATGAAAAGCAAGCACTCCATGAATAGTATCGAGATAAGAGACCTGCAGCCAATGGTGAGGCACCTTATGTGAAAATGCTAAGGTAACAAGGGGTAAGATTATCTTCTGGGATTGGATTTTTAAATAGAGTAGCTGGAATGCCCTGTAAAGCAATACTCAGTCTGTAAAGTCGGCTTGTGCCCCTCCTCTGCATCCCTCTGCTGAATTTCAGGTCTGGCTGAGAAAAGAGGACAAGACATTGGTAATGAGACCTTTGCATAACAAACACATAGGATTCGTACCCGATGTGCAGAAAATGGCCATCTGCTAACGAGCCTCCATGAGTGGCCTGGCCATTTGTTGCAATCTCGTGGGTGGGCTTAGATTTAATCTTACATAGATGAGCAAAGTGTTTCTGTTCCCATAAGGGAATCGCAGGTCGCCACGGGCTCCTGTGGATGATGCTGGCAATAATGCAGGGACGGATAATTGCCATTCTGCAAGAGCTTTGGATGGGTGGGGTCGCTCACTTAGTGATGGCCATGCTGCTTCCATTTCACTGGCCTGGGATCAAAAGGTGCTTAGCTTGAAGTGAAATGAATGAAATGAGAAACAGAAAGCCAGCCTCTCGCCCCTCCTGGGCTCCTAACCCCGCTTTCCTAAGCTGGCAGTGTTTTGAAAGCTGCTCTGTCTGGCCTTTGAAATTGCATTCAAATCCTTCTCAGAAAGTCCTCTGACAGTAACCAATCTCATATGGTGAGGGCAGCTTGAGACTGAAGCAGGGACATAGAACTGTGATGGGTCTATTGAATATACTAGAAGGCACCTTAAAGTGGAATAATACAATTGGTTACAAAAGCTACACTCCCTCCCAAAAGTCACCAGCAAGGGTAAATTGGATGGGAATGCGTAAAAATTGAGTTCCTTGGGCTCTTTTCCTCGTGACGTGGTACGAGTAAATTTTCCCCCATCTCCTTTTATTTCCTGGCTTGCTCCTCTCCGCTTCGTGTACTAGAGTAGAATATAAACAGCTGGTTCATTTGCAATACATTATGACATTTATAACACTGCCATCCTCATAAAGACAAGGTTTATT